AAAGCCAGGAGGTGCGATGTTTGGATCTCCAGTGAGATGCTAGTTCCCCACTTCCCATGGACATAAAGACAGGATGGAAGGGTGGCGTCAGCGTGAAAGCAGTGCCCGATGTGACATGGTTGAGTCGACCTAGGGGAGGCCCAGACCAGGCTCCTCCGTGCATGGCCGGGAGTTGAGCCCAGGTCAGTGAGGCCACCGGACTCCCGCTGTGGCGTAGGGCTTCGTGCAGCGGTGCCACCACGGCAGTGCCACTGGGACCGGGGGTCCGTGGTGTCCATGAAGCAGGGCCATTGTGGATTGTTAGCGCGTGGCTTCGTGTTTCCTCTGTAGACGCGCCGCTCACCTAATGGAGAATGCTTTTCTCGGTGTTTTACAAACATTATCTTCTTAATGTGCCTCCAGCGCAGGTCGTTTACCTCCCTTCCAACATCTTAATGATATTAATAACAATGTTAACCCTCTCTCTCTCTCGCTCGCCCTGCTGGTGTTAGGTTCCTGAGTAGTTTATTAGCCAAGGGCCTCTTTGATTATATTGCTGCGGAATACTCGCAATGTTTCCAAGGAACGTGAAACTTTGGGTCTCTGGAGGAGGAGGGGGGGAATGACGCTGTTGTCCATTACGTGCCCTGGCAAAACAACCACCAGCCAGTCGCGCACAGCACAACACTTTTATTCGGCCTATTGAGTTTCTTTCCGGAGAAAAACGACCACACGAGTTTTATATTTTTCCCGGCAAAGAAAGTAAAAGCAACTTCCAACCCCCGTATCGCCAAAGAATGCGCGTGAGCATGGGTCTACGTTGGAAGTCTTTGAACCTCATTAATCAGCAACATCCATCAAAATCTAACGCGTGTTAATGGACACGAGCGAGTCTCTTTGTCCCTCCGAGGAGCCCACGCTTTTTAACTTTCCCCACAAAGCAGTTTACGAGCTCTCGACCCAAAATTATTATCAGAATAAAAAAAAGCAATTTCTTTTTCAAAGTTTCATTTCCGCGGACAAATAGTGCCGTTCACATTCGACGCCAACAGTTTTTTTTTACAGTTCACGAAAAGAAAGCAGATGCCGGAGGAGTAACTCTGGTCGAGTGATGTATGGCCCGCGAGATAGAGATAACGTTTGTAAAACACGCGTACGCGCGCACACGGCAAAGATGTTTTGCATTTGGAGCAATAAATCCTGCGGTAAAACGTAAAACTGCACGTCCTAGCAAACATTGCCGCCCATTAATTGTTGCGCGGATTCCTCATGAATATATATTGAATATATTGAATATATATTGGTTCCACATGAGAACTCGAGGAGGAGGATGCTCTGGAGCAGCAGCCCTGGGAAGGTTTATAGTGAACAATGGGAGTGGTGCGTGTCTGTATTTGTTTCTTGAAAACAGTTTTGCTGAGCGTAGGCCCAACAACTGGCAAGTCGGCGGCAACAACAATCACCACCACCACCACAACCACCACCCCCACCACCACCGCCACCACCACCACCCCCACCACCACCACCACCCTCACCACCACCACCGCCACCACCACCCTCACCACCACCACCACCGCCACCACCACCACCGCCACCACCGCCACCACCACCACCACCGCCGCCACCACCGCCACCACCACCGCCACCACCGCCACCACCGCCGCCACCACCGCCACCACCACCACCACCACTGCCACCACCACCACTGCCACCACCACCACCACCGCCGCCACCACCGCCACCACCACCACCGCCACCACCGCAATTCACACCACCGCAACCACCATCGCCACCACCGTCACCACGACCGCCATTCACCACCGCCACCACCGTTATCAATATTGTGATATATGAGAGTTACGAACACTTTTCTGGATTTGAGCGACGATATTATTGTAAAGCGCTTGGGGCGGGGGGGGGTGCGAGGGACTCGCAGCCCCGGGGGGATCTCTGGGACCCGAGGCTCAGACGCCGATGCCGCAGAGGCCATCAGCTGACTCCCTGGGTGATCACTCTGATAAGTGACAGCTCCGTGATTGCCATTAACCAATCACTGCGCCACTAATGAGGGCTGCAGGTGAACCCCGCCATCTGAGTTTGATTCCCGGCCTCGGCTGACATCAGCGGCAAGTGATTGCGTCGTTCCTGCTCCCTTTACCAACTCCGCATAGACCGGCCTACTGAAGTACAATCTTCCAACCCATACGACCGACACGGTAGGGGGAGGGAGGGGGGGTGACCCTTATTCAGCAGTGGATCTAGAAAAGGGCTGTGGACCGCATTGCCATGGCTCAAGATGCGGCCCGGGTTTGTTCTTCCCGTGACTTGCGCGTCATGTAAACTGCGCGCAAGTCGGACGATCATAACAACACCGGGCGCATTCGTTTAAAAACTACAACAGACGAGAGAAACCCCGCGCAACGGAGGCACGGGCGCACATGGATGTGCCACTCCGTGTACGAATAGTCCCTTGGACCTTAAGCAATGTGCAAGATCACCAGTTCCTGAAGAACTGCCTCGTGGCCATCTCGTCTAAGTCAACGGTCTGCGGTTATCTCTGTCTAACTGCTGCCTGTTGGTCGGTCACGCTCGCTCAAGTTATTGATGTTCACGAAGACATTGCGACCCGCAGTTCAGCTTGTGAGGAACCTTCCGATAATAGGAAGCCACTGGACCTATGCACTTTTAAATCAACGAGATTGAAAACTCGTTTCTTTAAAACTGCTTTCTGTGTTTAGTTTGTTGTCTTTCCCCTGCACCTCCGATTAGCACGGTTAGCTACGTACGGTGCGAAAGAAGTTCAACGTACATACATATATTCTTATACCGTGACTTTGGCACACGTTGGCCTACTCACTTCGTGTTACATCACGGGATCTTCAACGTCCACGTACATACAATGCGCACCTCTGCGAGCGTTCCGTAACCTCGGCACTTATTGCCGTTGCTTGCCGTAGAGTCTGGCACACGTGGCCTATTAGCCGGATCAGTCTGTGTGCGTTCGCATTCTTCACCTCCCCCCCCCTACCCTTAGAGACATCGCAGTTCCAGAGGTTTCTTCTCATAGTGCTCCACAACCTAAATATTTACACCGCGGCATGGAGCGCGTTCCCTGATTGGCCTCAGCCAGTGGACGGTCTCCCATTCGATAAGGACCCTCGTTGGCTGTGGAGGACGGTATCTTCACTCATCACTGACGCTGATAATTATAATCGGTTTCCTCTGCTATAACCTAAATATATCTTCTTGTGCAAGGGACGTTCGGAAGACATTGACACGAACATTGTCTGTTTGGCTGCCAGACGTTTTGAACTTTTTGCGTTTTGATTGCGATCTGGCAGACATTGGTCTTTTAAGTAATTAAAGTACAGCATTGAAGCAAATCAAAATTTAGAAGAAAAAAACAACCGTGTCACGTGAGAAATAAAATTGATATTGCCCCGAATGTAAGTAAACGTTGAAACGTGAACTCCCTGTGGCACGAGTCGGCTCGGGCGGAATCGGAGCATTTCACAGAGGCCTCGCCCCCCATGGCTTTTCCAGAGTCGGTTGTTGTGGGGGGGGGGGGGGGGGGAGGGTGGCATCACCGCACCTCCCGTGCCACGCGCCGCACCTCCCGTGCCACGCACACTCGGGGTGCCGGCGCCCGTGTGGCAGCTGTGACGGCGCCCGCGAGGACGCTTCTGCTTTCGCGCCATGGGCCTTGCCGCGAGAGCGCGTTTGGGTGGTGGCGCGGCCTCGGGGGTCACGAGCCTGGCGCTTGTTGCAGACGTCCGCCGTTGGAATCCGGCAGGCCATACCCGGTCGTTGCCGTGGGTGCGTCTTGTTAACCGTACAGCAGACTGCGCGCCGTCTAACGACATCCGACGATGTCGTTAGAAACGAATTGCCTCCTGTGTGCCCCGTCCGAATCTGCCAAATTTGGAATATCCCCCCGCAAATGACCCAACCGGGTTCGCACACGGCAGGCACGTCACCGCCGACTGCGACGATACTGCAGTCCGTGTCTGTGAAGCACGGCCGCTTCCCCCGTGACGATCGCCTGGCGCCGTAAGAATGACGCGGACACCAAATCAAGCGGATTGCTCAAAAGGCGCCACACGCGCGTCCCCATCGGGCACACGCTTGGAACCACCTGACCCCGGCAGGTTTTTTGCCGCAGAGAGGCCGCGGTGGCCACGACCTCACACGGCGGTGGAAGTCCAACGTCCGGACAAACAAACGCGCGGATGGGACCCTGGGCAAACCGCGAGGAAATTGCGCTGATCCTGTTTGTCTCCGAGCAGCGCTAATCGCGCCCACGGTTTGAACTCTCCGACGTTGAGCACTCGAATGAGAAGTACAGAAACTTTGATTTAACAAAAAAAAAAAGTCACGTGGCGCGTAACGGGACCGCTGCCGCGAGCGCTGCTCGGCGCCGTCGAGAGTTTGCTTCGCGCAAAATGCGCGGCCGTGGTCACGTGGAAGCCGACGAGTCGGCGGCGTCTTCCGCAAGCCGCGCCGGCGTCGTCGGTCACCGAGCGCAAGCCCCGCGAGAGGGCCCAAAACGTCAGAGCGCTACCGAAGCTGGAATTGTTGAAACACATTTGCTGAATTGAGCGACGTTATCGTTATAAGAGCTTTTGGGGGACGTTGGGAGGGGGGGGGGGGTTACAGAAACGACGGGAGGGGATTCCCGTTGGTGCAGCGCAAGGGAAGAAGCAGAAAGAGAATCAGAATCTTTATTTAGCCTTCAGGAGGAAACCGATGAGCTGCGAAGCTCTTTCCCACAGATGTCTAGTCGTGGCACGGGGTCCGAGACAAGCGAGGTGACCTGCAGTGCCGAGGTTGACCGCAGTGGAAATTGACGTTACCGAGCAACTGTTATGACCGGCACAGGTGGGTCGCCAACCCCAACGCCCCGCCGATCCACCTTTGCCTCCCCGCAATGCTGACGTTTGCACACCGTGCCGTGTTTAAGGCCGAGTCGACCCGTGGGGGGAGCAGGCGCGGTGATGCGCGCGCCGCGCTTTCCGTTGCAGAGGCGTTCGTGGCGCTGTCGGAGCAGGCGGAGGCCCGTGTGGGTGCCCTCTTCCGCGACGTGTACCGGGCGCTGGAGCACGAGGCGGCGGGGCCCGTGCGCGACCTCTTCGCCGGCGCTCGCCAGTACGTGCTGGGCTCCCGCGCCGACCCCCACGACCTGGCCACCTCCTTCTTCGACGGCCTCTTCCCGCTCGTCTACAACCGCCTCATCAACCCGGGCCTGTCGGGCCTCGCGCCCCCCTTCGCCGAGTGCCTGCGCCACAACCGCAGGGAGCTGAGGCCGTTCGGGCCCTTCCCGAGGGCGATCGCCTCGCAGCTGGGCCGCTCGCTGTCCTCCCTGCGCTCGTTTGCCGGCGCCCTCGGCTCGGGCCTCGAGGCCGTGAACGCCACGGAGCTGGCGGTGACGCCGCGCGACAGCTCGTGCACGCGGGCCCTGGCGCGCCTGCGCTACTGCCCGCTGTGCGGCCCCGAGGCGGCGGCGGCGGGGCCGCGTCCCGCGCGGGCCTGCATCGGCTACTGCCTCAACGTGCTGCGCGGCTGCCTGGCGAGCCTGGCGGAGATGAGCGGGCCGTGGATGGAGCTCGTGCGGGCCGTCGAGGAGCTGTCGGCCGAGATGCACGGCTCCGGCGACCCCGAGGGCGTGCTGCTGAACCTGCACGCGCAGCTCAACGAGGCCATCATGCACGCGCAGCTCAACGGGCCCAAGATCTCCGTGGCGGTGAGCGCAGTCGTTCCCTCGCGTCTCATTGGACGAGAGAAGGTCTCTCCCGGTCGTCCTCGCGGTAAACAAAAATTATCGTGAAAGCGAACGATTGGCGCGTTCTAGTTAGCGTCTCGCCAACAGTGTGGAGATGTTAACTCCACAGGGCGTGGGTTCGACTCCGGCCTTGACGCCTGCTGCTGTATATTTGGAGTTTGCGTGTCTCTCTCTCCCCGTGGTCGCGTGGATTTTTTATCCGGGTCCTCCGGTTTTCCCCTCGACATTTAGAATCGACATCGCCACGCGTTTCGAGTATTCGGCTGCTATAAATGTGATGATGATGATAAGCCACTTCGTAGAGCTATCATTTGTGGCCGGGTCGTGTCTGAAAAGGAGCTCACGTAGCTCAGTGGGCCTGACCTGGTGAAACAAAAAATAGTTTTAGTAGTTTTAGTTCAACTTCAGCTGCCGTCAGAAGAGAGAGAGCGGCAGCCACTTGGGCGTTGTTGGGGCTTGCACTGCGTGGGGCGTGGGAGTGTGCTGAAGGTGTCTGTCCGCTGCATTGCCGCACTTGACGTGTTTTGCTTCCGTCGTTGTGGTGACAACCCAGGCCGTCACTCTTGCAAACGAGACTCCTCTGTTCCCGCCTGGCTACGCGAAATAAACTTCATTTGGAGAGTGATGAGCGAATGGGATTTTGAACGCTGAGCTCCCACATTGCGCACACGTGCGGGCACTGCTGGGCGAGCACCCCGCCAGCGGAGAGATAAACGACCCTCCTGGTGCCCTGACTCGGTCTCTAGAGGTGGATGCGTGAGTGTGTCCGTGCCTATGTTGTGCGTGCGTCTGCGTGTGTAGCGGTTAGCGCTACGCTGCGCTACCAACCCGGCGATCCGAGTTCGATTCCCGCTCACGGCCAACACCAGTGACGATTAACTGAACCGGTCCTGGGCCTCAAATGAGTACCTGGTGCAGTGTGTAAACATTGGCATTGGGGAAACAAAGGCGGCCGGGCGTGGTGCTGGCCACCCACCGCCTCGTGGCCTGTGCCGGCCTTCATTGGTGCTACTGGCTCACAGCACTTGCCCCAAACGTCTGTTCAGGCTACACGGGGGGGGGGGGGGGGGGGGTTGGGGGGTGTAGTCAATCGGTAACTCGACTGATCCCATGGGCTCATTGCCACGACGGGGCCACCTGGGTCCCAATCCCAGCAATTTGGTGACGCCCTGTCTGGGCGTCATCCCCTGCGCGAGCTCGGGGAGACGTCACGAGGGGGCGTGGCTATGGCATTGCCGCCGCGACAGTGTGCGTGTGTGTACGTGTGTGTGTACGTGTGTGCGCGTTGAACTTCTTTCGCACCGTACGTAGCCAACTGCGCTAAACGGAGGTGCTGGGGAAAGGACAACAACACGAAGCACAACAAAACAGTTCTCAATAAATTAGTTTGTCAATATAGATGATTTAAAAGTGCATTGCTCGAGTGCCCTCCTAATATCGGAAGAGAGCGTTCCAGACGGCCGCAGAAGCACGTCTCAAAGCTCCGTGCGATGCGGTCACCGGCTTTGTTCGATGGTGAGCCCGAAACCGCCGCCGCCGCTGCTGCTGCTACTGCTGCCGCGAGGATGACCGGAGGAGTTTGCGTGATGCTTTATGCTCCTTGACGAGATCAGCGAGGTGTCATTGGCGGCATCACGCTACGAACCAGACACTCGAGTTCGATTCCTGGCCGCGAGTGACACGGCACCCCATGCGTGCGGCGTGCCCCCTGCCAGGTGACGCAGGTGTGCGGGCCCCCGCAGAGCAGCGAGCAGGGCCCGGAGCGGGCCTGGGAGTCCGAGTACGAGCGCCTGCCTCCTCCGCCGGGGCGGCAGCACTACGACCGGCTCGCAAGCATCAGGCGGTGAGGGCAGCGCACCGGTACACTCGCCGTGCGCGTGACGCGTCGCGGTAACCATGCCGACGCACCTCGCGGCACCGCGCTCACCGCGTGCGGGATACGTCGCGGCAACCATGCCGATGCACCGCACGACTCTATTGCGGCTGTCTGTGTCAGCACCCCGGGCAAAACCGGTAACCGCTTTGACCGGCGCGTTCAACACCGCGAGCGTGGGCGCACGAACGTTTGGCTCCGTGCGGTAATTTGTGCGGGGAATTACCGGAACGCCCCGTCTGTTACACCGCGTGGACTTTAAACCGCCCCCCGCCGCATCTTTCGCAAGGGGAAGGGCACCGCCGCAGCACGAACACCGCCAACTCCGTTTGCAAATTGCCCCCATTAGACGGCGACGTTGACAAAACCGCTCGCCGTAATTACGGTCGCAGTTCAGCCCCTCGCAGGAGAGACCGTGAATCGGTTACGGCGGGCTTCATCACAAGCATCGGCACTCTTATCTCTAATGTTGTGGTAAATCGTCAGTGTTCACAGTCAATAAAACATAGCGTGAGAGCGTGATCCCAAGGGAGGCAGAACAGCGCATGATTCAGATGTCCTGCTGTTCCTGAGCGACGTGAGCTGCCGTCAAAGACAAAGACCTCACGTATAGACTTAACAGACTGTTGGGGCTAGTGCTGTTCGCGAGCAGCACCTATTAAGGCTGACATGGCACACGAGGGGGTGGGTGGCCAGCACCATGAGTCGATCTAGGGGAGGCCCAGGACTATTTTAGATAATCGTCACCGGTGTTGGTGGCCGTGAGCGGGAATCGAACTCGGGGTCGCCGGGTTTGTAGCGCAGCGTGCTAACCGATACGCTGTCGCTTACACACACACACAGGTACGCACACACAGGTACACTCACACAGGTACACACACATGCACACAGACAAAACACGCTCCTTGTTCCTCCCCGCTTTGCGAGATCTGACTGCACCCTGGGCAGGAGTCAGCCACGCGTGTCGCTCTTGTCACGTCATTAATCTCTCGCGCCGACCCAGTAATGCTCCTGGACCAAAGCAGGGGCGTCTGAAGAACAACGTTGCTATTAGACATTGGATCCCGGTCCCCCGTGGGAATCGGCACAGATGCGGCCGCGGAGAACGAATTTACGCGCTGACTCGGCAGTTTGCGAAACGTCCCCCGCGAAACAGCAATGACAAAGCCCCACGGACGTTGTCCCGGTTCTTTGTAAAGAGGTGGGAATTGCAGAGACCACCGGCTCAAGAGAACTGCACGTGGGGAGTAGGTTGGTCTGGATGCGTCTCTGCGCGTCGTGAAATAAAAACAAATTTCACAGTCTACGCTCATCTGTCTGTCACGGTGGGTTTTCGCATCATAAACAGACTTGCAATGTTCCCCTCTAACCTCAAGCCTGGGCTGGGCTTATGTACAAAAAATGTCATTCTAATCCCCAACCTCCGATAGGCACGGTTGCCTACGCACGGTGCGAAAGAAGTTCCACATACATAGCAATACAGATTTGATTCTGGGCTCTTGAATTCGGTTTTAAGCTGAGGAACAGCTGTCGTTTTTACTGCAGATTAATATAGAATTTAAAAAAATAGATTTTCTGATTGAATTTTGGGACAATCGCTGTGCCCTCAGGTTTTCCCAACCCTTTCATGAGGGGGGGGGGGGCTACACTAGGATGTTAAGATGACTGTTAAACGAGAGTTTGGTTTGTGGGAGGAAAGCAGACAACTTGGAGAAATCCCCACGCAAACACGGATAGATTAAATAAACAAACACAAGCTAGTGAGTGTAGCAAAATCTGTGCATCCCACCCACTGCTGTAAGGCCATCCCGTTGTGGCCGAATGCCTCGAACACGTGGTGTACACTGGTGGGCCCCCACGTGGCACACGCCAGGCTAAGAACCTGCTTCACTTCTGCGATGATTGAGCGTGATTTGGTCTCGGGCGCACGACGTTTCTTTTAAGCGATAAAAATATCTCAAATTTACAAATGCACAATTAACATTTGAAGTCACACGACGCTACGCTTTACGTGACGATGTGTGCGCGGGCACGAGTACACGCACACACGTGTATTCTTTGGATCGAACAGGACACACGCCGTTTTATTGGCTACACATCACTTGGACAATGGGGGCAGTGGAGCAGAAGGAACGATGTCCCACAGAGCAGAGGGTGACCGGGGCCTTCGGCAGAAGGTTTTTTGGTTGCTGTAGCGGAGAGTACGTGGGGGGCAGTGGGGCAGGTTGAGGGAGGAGAATTGACATCGGTGTCAAGGCCGCCACACATTTGAAACCATTGGGGGTTTGACAGCACAATCAAGGGGAGTTTTCACATTTGTGTATCGTCGGAGGCCGCAAGTCAGGGGCTGCCAATGGCCCGCGGGCCTTGCAGTGAAGAACATTGCCATGGATAATTTTTTTAAGATGCTGAGTGCGATATGGAAGTTGATGCGGGATCGGGTCGGGACGCAGCGGAGGGATCGGGGTGACGAGGTCACGCTCACAGGAGACGGGGAGGAGTCAGGCAGAGGGGAAAGGAGCCTTGCCCGGACGCAGGAGGGCAGTCTCAGTGGACGGCGGTGGTTGAGACCAGACTGAGCTGAGTGGCAGAGGCCATGAGGGGCGGAGGGGAGGGGATGGGAGCTTTGAGATCGGGTGGAATTTCTTTTTTGCCGGGACGCTGCGGGGTCCCGTGTGGATTTTATTTTTTCAGGAAGAAGGGAGCGATAGCGGCAATCTTCAGTGCGAGGGGGAATAGTGCCGGAAGAGATGGAGCTTCTGACAAAGCTGGTCACATAGGCGGCTGCGGTGACTCGTACACACACACACATTTGTTGTCCTTCCCCCGTGCCTCCGATTAGCATGGTTGGCTACGTATGGTGCAAAAGAAGTTCAATGTACACACACACGCTGACCTAAAGATACGCGTGCGCGCCTAATAATTGCACGAATCCAGTCAAACTGCTTTACCGCTCAGAAGAGCATTGAGACGGTGCCATTGTCCCATTGTCCCATTGTCCTATTGTCCTATTGTCCTATTCACAGCGCCGAGCGAGCAGTGGAATTTCCACATCCCTGTGATGGGGCAAGTCTCCCAATAGCGCAACCACCTTTGACCCTGGAGGGACGATGAGGCTTCGTCAATGCCCAACCGGGATTTAAACTCGCAAGCCCCCCTCCTGCGGTGGCGAGCTGCTCGCTCTGTCACTGAGCAGCCACCCGGCCGACGTGGCACGCGCGCGCTCATCCCGTGGCAGACGATGCCCCTCATCCTCCACCCCCCCCCCCCCCCACGTCTCCTCTCCCCACGGCTCCACCCACACGCCGCGCTCACGGGTTTACAACGTTTCAAGTGAGATTTTGGTCGAGGTTGAGTCGCAGATATTTCCACCGCTTTATATTGTATTAGTTGGCGTTTCAGGGCCGGCACTCAATTCCGGTGTTCTGGTGTATGCATGTTGAGCTTCATTCGCACCGTACATCACCAACTGCGCCTGATTGTAAGTGGACGATTCTGATGTCCTGCGTTCACCCAAAGTCTTGCCCCATACGCCTCCCACTTCCTCTCGGTATTTGCCCCGGAAACGTCTCGCTGAGCCTCACGGAAGCCCTGCCAATTCCTAACGGAGGACGAAACTGGAGACGCCGTCGGGGTCTAACGCGCGCAATCTCCGTGTGCCGCGTGCAGGGAGTTCCACAGCAGCCTGCGCCTCTACCGCACGTTCTTCGCGACGCTGGCGGAGACGCTGTGCCACACCGAACTGGCGTCACATGACTCGTCACTCTGTTGGAACGGCGAGACCATGACGGAGAGGTGCGGCGAGGGCAGGGGTCACCGTTACCCTCCCACCCCCCCACCCCCCCGCCCCACCTCCCCACAGGGGTCACCATCTGCTGCGGTCATCCTCACCATTAGACTGAGACCCCTTACGGCCACTAGCTATAAAAAAAGATAGATATTTTTTTTACTAAACTATGAACAATTTTTATTTTTTTATTTTAGCAGGTAAGGCCCCACTGAGCTAGATAGCAGCTCTTTTTCGGAAGCGACCTGGCTTTCACAAATGGTAGCTCAACGAAGTGGCTCAGCATCACGTGGAACTTTATAGCAGCCAAAGGCTCTAAACGCGTGGTGATGTTGATTCTGAATGTGTAGGGGAAAAATCGGAGGGCCCAGAGAAAAATTCACGCGACCACGGGGAGAGAGACACCACAAACTCCAAATATACAGCAGCAGCAGGCATCGTCAGGGACGGGATGAAACCCACCACCTCCTGTACACCAGGCGAGGTTGTTAACATCCCCTAGCCACCGGGGCGAAGTCTCCGCGGACCTCCGTGGGTCGCCGAGCGGCGGTGGCCACGCACGTGGCCCTGTAATCCAGCACTGCAGAGTCGACGCTTTCGTCGCACGGATGTCGAGCAGGTGCCATACCCTGGTTTACCAGCAGAAGGCGGTACAGCAAGTAGACCAATCTCCATCTGTTTCCATCTGTACGGGGACAGAGCGTTGCTGCCCTCGTGCAAGGCGTGGGTTTTCTCCGGGTGCTCCGGTTTTCTCTCCCAAAGCTAAAAAAAAAAACACCCCACCCCCACGCCACGAACTATAACGCGGCACCGGCCAAAACTTCCGAACGCCGCAAAGAAGGGTCACGCAGCAGCAGCAGCAGCAGCGTCGTCCCCTGCTGCGAACAGCTGGCAGGACCCTCCTGAAAACGAGCCTTGCGACTCGGTGGGGCTTTTCCGGGTGATCGAGCGCGTGGCCGTAGCATTGAGTGTCACCCCACCCAACTCACCCTCCCCGTCTCGCCCCCCCCCCACTCACCCCCCCCCCCCCCAGTGACACGCACCGCGTGGTGGAGAACGGCGTGGCGGCGCAGAGCCACAACCCCGAGGTGCGCGTGACGGAGGTGGACGCGGCGGTGCAGCGCGCCGTGCGGAAGCTGCAGCACGACGTGCGGGTGAGCGACGCTCGCCACACGCACGCAAGGACAAGGATCCCCCATGTGTAGCCCTAACAGACTGTTGGGGCAAGTGCTGCTCGCGAGTAGCACCTATGAAGGCCGGCACAGCACGCGACGGAGGTGGGTGGCCAGCACCACGCCTGACGGCCTTTGTCTCCCCAGTGGCGATGTTTAGGCACCGCACCAGGTAGTCATTTGAGGCTGAGTCGACCTAGGGGAGACCCAGGACCGGTTCAGATAATCGTCAATGGCATTGTTGGCCGTGAGCGGGCATCAAACTCGGGTCACTGGGTTCGTAGCACAGCGTGCTAACCCCACACACACACAGAGATATACCCGGAATACAACAACCGCCGTTCACCACTAAGTGACGGTAATGTCACCACGGCGCTAGTGCCAGGATAAGTGCACTTTAAGACCACGTGAAGTGTCGAACGCCCGCTGACAGGAGGTCGCGGGACAGACCCCCGGGTGCCACGGGCCGATTGACAAACAGACGCGGAGACACTCGCCACACGCACACGCCGCCGGCGAGGGGCGCGGCACAGCGACAACAGGAAGGCGTTGTTGCGGAGAGATTCGCCGTCGACGCCGCGGCCGCCCCAGAGCCCACCGCACGCCGCTCACTGCAAGCGACTCACATCGCCGCAGCTCGGCTCAAACATTTGAAAGGGCGCCCACGGTGGCAGCCGAGGTCACTCGGGACCCGGCCTGCGGTCTGGCGTTAGTCTGCCAGTAGGGGGGGGTGGGGGTGGGGCGACGTTGCTGTACGTGCAAAAGCCGGCGTAACTATTTGAATCTGGCAATAAACCCGCGGCACTAAATCAGGACGTCCGCTGGATTGAAAGCGCGAACCCCTGGGGCGAGCGGCGACCGCGCTCGCCGCCGTACCGGTGGCAGTTGCCCGTGGAATTGTCGACCGCGGGTGATGCGCGCTGCGTGAGTTACCGCCGAGTTGGGGTCTTGCTCGTAACCCCGAGGCAATGACTCGTCCGTTTCACAAGAAGCATGCAGACGCTCTGCCGCTGATATCGGCCACGTGGATATACGAGCCGTGCATCGGAGTCAGCCCCAGCTGCGGGAGTTGCGGACAGCTCCTGACGCCACTGTGCGCACGGCAACTTCCTGTGTATTTACATGGTAACTTACCCGTTATGTGTTGGACAATAGCGAAAATGCATCGTGCGTGTGGGTTTGTCTCCCTGCATTCTGATTTCCTGTCGCATTCCAAACGCACACCGATGGAATCAGCCCAACATCTCAGGCCGTCTTGTAACAGCATCCTGAGACTCGGTGAGGCTCAAAGCCGCTCGTGTTATTGACCGAACCGGACAGCTGCCAAGGTGAAGTGTAAGGATTATATTTTATACACAGCTGCTGAACAAAGGCTCAGAGGCGCAAAACTTCAATCGGCCGGTAACTCATTTACGTCGTCGTCACAGTCGTGAAAGGACGAAAGCGTTGACACGTTTATTGAACTGTCCAAGGTCATACGAGCTTGGGAAATGTGGCGATGGGAAGGGATTACCAAAGTTAGAGATTTTGTATTGATCCCCTGCAGGACAAACATCCGACATTAATCTTTGCAGACCACGCGGTTGTCACTCTCCCGCGCATGCTGGAAGGCCGATGCCGACACTCCACACCGGCCACAGCCGCCTCGCGATGATGGCCACGGATCGTGGCGCTGTTGTTGCTAAAACTAAACTGAACTTTTTATTTTGGGGAGCCCCCAGGGAGCGGGGAGCCCCCAGGGACTGGGGAGCCCCCAGGGAGCGGGGAGCCCCCAGGGACTGGGGAGCCCCCAGGGAGCGGGGAGCCCCCAGGGAGCGGGGAGCCCCCAGGGACTGGGGAGCCCCCAGGGACTGGGGAGCCCCCAGGGACTGGGGCGCCCCCAGGGAGCGGGGAGCCCCCAGGGAGCGGGGAGCCCCCAGGGACTGGGGAGCCCTTTGGGACTGGGGAGCCCCCAGGGACTGGGGAGCCCCTAGGGAGCGGGGAGCCCCCAGGGACTGGGGAGCCCCCAGGGACTGGGGAGCCCCTAGGGAGCGGGGAGCCCCCAGGGACTGGGGAGCCCCCAGGGACTGGGGAGCCCCCAGAGAGCGGGGAGCCCCCAGGGACTGGGGAGCCCCCAGGGACTGGGGAGCCCCCAGGGGGCGGGGAACCCCCAGGGAGCGGGGAGCTTCCAGGGAGCGGGGAGCCCCCAGGGAGCGGGGAGCCCCCAGGGAGCGGGGAGCCCCCAGGGACTGGGGAGCCCCCAGGGACTGGGGAGCCCCTAGGGAGCGGGGAGCCCCCAGGGACTGGGGAGCCCCTAGGGACTGGGGAGCCCCCAGGGAGCTGGGAGCCCCCAGGGAGCGGGGAGCCCCCAGGGACTGGGGAGGCCCCAGGGACTGGGGAGCCCCCAGGGCACTCCCACTGAGCGGCTATCGGAATCCGAATCTTTGTTTAGGCTGGAGGAGCAATCTGATGAGCTGTGAAGATATTTTTTTTCACAGATGTCCGGTAGGGGCGGGTCAGAAAAAGTTACAACAACAAACAATACAAAAACCATACAAAAACAATGAAATAGGAGTGCAAAATAAAGTGCAGGTAAGAAAGTCACGAAAATAAAAAAAAATCCAAATTCCTGACCCAACACCAATGCCAATCTTAACACACTCAGCCAAGTGCTCATTTAAGGCTGATTGGAACTAGTGGAACCCCAAGCCTGGTTCAAGTACCACTTGGATTGGTGCTGTACGTGGCCTGGAATCGAACTCAGGTCACTCCAATGTAAATGCAATGTGCAGAGCGCTGCTGCTTCACACCCCATATGCACAGAAATCGTGCCGTATGCCCCAAGCATAATGACAATCATTAACGCCACTTTGCCAGTCCATCTCCAGCGGCCTCATAATATCGGACGGAAGAACGTTCCAGACGGTCGCTGAGGCGACGTCTAAAAGCGCGGCGACCACCGCCTTTGGTGGTGGTTGCCGCCGTAGAAATAAGCCGATGACGAGTCACTCCCATGGTACCGGCAAGCAGACGCAGCGCTCTCTCTCACTCTCCCTTACTCTCCCTTACTCTCACTCTCTCACTCTCCCTTACTCTCCCTTACTCTCAATCTCTCACTCTCCCTTACTCTCACTCTCTCTCTCTCACTCTCCCTTACTCTCCCTTACTCTCACTCTCTCTCTCACTCTCCCTTACTCTCACTCTCTCACTCTCACTCTCTCTCTCTCATTCTCTCTCTCTTACTCTCACTCTCATTCTTTCTCTTACTCTCTCTTACTCTCTCTTACTCTCTCTTACTCTCTCTCACTCTCCCTTACTCTCACTCTCTCTTACTCTCACTCTCTCACTCTCCCTTCCTCTCCCTTACTCTCTCTCACTCTCTCATTATTTCTCTTACTCTCTTATTATTTCTCTTACTCTCACACTCTCTCTTACTCTCCCTTACTCTCCCTCTCACTCTCACTCTTACTCTCTCTTACTCTCCCTTACTCTCCCTTACTCTCACTCTCTCCCTCTCTCACTCTCCCTTACTCTCACTCTCTCTCACTCTCTCTCTCTCACTCTCCCTTACTCTCCCATATTCTCACTCTCTCACTCTCCCTTACTCTCACTCTCCCTTACTCTCACTTTCCCTTACTCTCCCTTATTCTCACCCTCTCTCTCCCTCTCTCTCTTACTCTCCCTTACTCTCACTCTCTTACTCTCCCTCTCTCACTCTCCCTTATTCTCCCTCTCACTCTCTCTTACTCTCTCCCACTCTCTCACTCTCTGTCATTCTCTCTCTCTCATTCTCACTATCTGTCATTCTCTCACTCTCTTTCTCGCTCTCGCTGACACACCTGCGTTCGTTTGTCCCTGAGCGTGAATCACTTTTTTCTCGGGGAGCGCAGAGCCGAGGTGCGTTGTTGGGTCTCGGCCAACGATCCTCACGCTCCAATGATTTTCAGGAGAGTAGTCAAACGTGGTGTGCGACGGTGCGTACATTTACCGATGCAAAGTATAGTCCATCCATCCTGGGAAAATATGTAGGTTACGCCCCCAAACCCAAGAAGGTTAACTGTGCATCATATAATTGGCTGCTAAAAGACGACAGCAAAAGGGGGAGCGTGTGTTAGAACGTGCGGCAGTGACGTGAGCAGAAACGAGGACAAAAAACGACTTTAGAAACGTCGTCACGTGACAAATTGGAAATTGCTGCACGGAGCATAAATCAGCGTTAAATAATAACGACCCGCACGTGTGCGCAACGTTTCATTTCATCATTTGTCACCCAGATCTGTGACTGTAGACGTTATTTCTGTTATCTTGGAGGTTAGTTTTGAGTCGGCTGAATTACTAAGTTAACCCACGACAGATTGGCGAGTGCTCCCAAGTTGCTTTGCGAATGAGCCGCGTGTAGCCTGGGGGCTGCTCCCCCAACGATAACGCGTGGAGTTTGTTTTTTTTACAAACGAATTGAGATCGCACCAGCAGCGGATACACTTTACGACGATGCCACGTTCAAGTGGGAGGAAATATGTATAACTGTGTAACATACACACACATATAGACACTAATACCACGGTGGATGTCGAGGATGCGCTCCTAAAAGGTGCAACGGATTTCGAAAAGGCGTAAATCAAAGCGAATTTCCCACAAGAGCTGAACCAAGGCAGCGGAGGGTATGGTGAAGCTGTGTGTTAATGCACGCGCCTTGTATGTACGTACCGTATGTTGAACTTCTTTCGCACCGTACGTAGGCAATCATGTTAATCGGAGCTGCGTCTTCATCCTAGACGTAACCCACAACGTTACATTGAATTACTTAAAATACTGCACACAACGCTAGTGAACAACAGTAACCTTGAACACAAATTAAACGGGGTACAATTAGATACAGTACACTATATAAAAAAATCACCAAAATACCGTACGTAAATAAAATATTGTACTCTGCAGCACAGTACATTTATTTATGCGTGACGCAAAGTAGTTGCTTTGGCAGGGCAGTAGTCGGTGGTGGTGGAGGAGGCAATGGCCGAGAGGGCGATGGATCACGAGGCAGGAGGGACCGTGCTGTCTGCGACGTGAGTGTGTGGGGTCGAGGCGGCCGCAAGTCGGGTAGCGGTGTGTAGAATAACGTGGCGACGAATTTGTGAAACAACGTCAAAGGGAGAGAGACATGCAAATGGGGTGTTACTGTGTATAACAATATATTTGTGTGTACCCGGGTATCCAGAATCCGGATATGGATACTGGAGGAATCCGATGGGCTACAAAGCTCTTTCCCGCAGATGTCCATCGCGCAAACCGCACTACTTGGCACTTTGACCGCCGCCAAACGACCCGGCGGCTCCACCTCACGTGGAGCCGAGGTGATTGCGCCAAAGTCAGGGCCCGGACACGCACGGTAACCGCGTGAAACATTCTTCAGGCGGCCAAATCGCGCACACTCTGGCTCATTCGCAAAAAATAAGCGGTATCCCTCGGGCGACCGCTCCCCCATAAATGAGACGAATGCTTCCCAGAGGCGCCGTGGGCCCGCGATGAATGAGCCGCTTGCGCACGCACACACGCGCACGCACACACACGCACACACGCGCATGTGCATTTGTGAGTGTGCATTTGTGGGTGTGCACACGCACGCGTGCATCGTGAGTGGGGAGCGGTGGCGCAGTGGCTCGTGGTGTAGCGGTTAAGTTCGCTGCACCACGAACCCGGCGACCCGAGTTCGATTCCCGCTCATGGCCGACACCAGTGACGATTATTTGAACCGGTCCTGGGGCTCCCCCTGGGGCAACTAGTGCGGTGTGTAAACATCGCCCCTCGAGAGACAAAGGCGGCCTGGCGTGGTGTTGGCAACCCACCCCCTCGCGCGCCGTGCCGGCCTTCATAGGTACTCGCAAACGTCCCAATAATGTGAGCGTGATTGGCACGGTTGGCTACGTACGGCGTGAAAGAAGTCGAACATACAGCACACATGCAGCTGAGATCACACACAGCAACAACGTCGCCCCTTACTGCGTTACGTGAAACACAGCGGCACCTCCCTTCGGCATGAGAACGATCGCGCCAATACCACGGCCGCTCGACGATTATTTACGCAACTCTCGGCTGACTGCGACGTGGTGAAATCAGAGGTCGGCCACCTGCGGCTCCGGAGCCGCCTGCGGCTGCGCGACGTCGCTCATTGAGGGCCGCCGTCTCGTATTCACCGCGTGGCAATGCGCCCCTTTTTGTGATATTCTGACTCCCGACCCCCGGGTTAAATGAAAGGACGTCGGCCAGCCGCCGTAACGCCGAGCGCGTGAGCCGTGTCTCGTCCGCGACCCCCGCCGGGTGCGCAGGCCATACGGGAACGCGGCGCTGGCGGCCGCAGGGACGCGATGGCCGGGGGCCCCGAGGATGGCGGCGGCCCCGGGGATGGCGGCGGCCGGAGCGACGCTCGCGAGGAGGGCGCCGCCAGCGGGGATCGCGACTGCGACGACGAGGACGACTGCGACGACGACGACGACGGTGGCGGCAGCGGCGGCGCCGACCCCATCAAACCCGCGAGTAACGCGGGGGGCACGGGTGAGTGGGGGGGGGGGGGCGGGGGGGCAATTCGCACCCCCAGTCACGCTCGTGCACAGGTCACGTGCGGCCACCGGTGTCTTTGTTTGCATTCGGGCGCGCTTCTGCGGCCGTCTGGAACGCTCTTCCTTCCGATATTAGGAAGCCAAACGAGCTATGCACTGTGAAATCGTCGAGATTGAAAACTCATTTATTTAGAACCGCTTTTTGTGTTTTAGTTTAATGCCCTTCCCCCCGCACCTCCGATTAGCACGGTTGGCTACGTGCAGTGCGAAAGAAGTTCAACACACGAACGTACATAAAAGGCGCCTGTCTGCGCCGGTACTTTCGCTCGAAGAGTAAAGCGCCGCCCACGACCAGCAGCTGGTGTTCGCCACACGGCAGAAAATGACAGCAGCACAAACACCTGATCCCACCCACGGGCCTTCGTCTTGTTAGCTCGAGTGGGAATGGGGAGAGGGAGACAGGAGGCACCTGGCTCCACACGTAGGGCACTTTGTCTTGGCGGGGAGGGAGTGTGTCGGGCTGACGTCGGTTCATCATGACACACTCGTGCCGGGCTCTCCATCACCCGCAGCGAGGCGCACGGGCTCGGGGAAACACCTGTCCCTGCCCACGGCACTTTCGCTTTCGCCACGAGTCTCGTTTCACTCTCGCCCCGGCGCTCGTTATTTTGGCCGCGTTCGGCTCAGCCGGCAGCGGATGACGAGCCGCTCGCAGCTCGGCCAATCGCGGTGGCGCGCGCCCGCGCAAGGTCCCAAACTGGCCCAGCGTAGGTCACGTTGGAGGTTCTACGCGCTCGTTTTTGCGTAAGGTAAATCTACACAAGTTTGTAACGGGCGCAGTTTAAAGAAAAAAGAACCCCGACAATTTGGGGCCCCAGGAGGAGGGCGGCGATTCGGCGGCTCGCTCCGCAACGGTCAACCGGGCCTCCGCGTTCTCTCCCCGGAACCCGCAGGCGGAGAGAAGCCGACCCCGACGGACAAGAGCCACCCGGACCGGCGGAGAAACCAGCCGGGAGGCGGTGCGGGAAGGCGCCTGGAGGCGGGCGGCCTCACCGCGGCCCTGGCCGCCGTCACGGCCGCCGCGGCCGCTCTGCTCCACGGCCCCCGCGGCCTCCGCGCCGAGTGACCGTGACGCGGAGGTCGCCCCCCCCACCCGCCCCCCCGTCGGCTGCGGAGGCCGAACGACCCCCCAGGGGGTTTGGCGCGGCCGACCTCCGCAACCCCCCCCCCCCCCGCGAGCGGACCGCGTTTTGTTTGAGTTGCCCGAAGCCCCGTGGGGGGGGGGGGGGGGCGTCCCCAACCCCCGCGCGGGGCCCTCCCATTGAACGCGCCGGGCAGCGAAGGACCCAGCGGCAGGCGGGTGGCGCCGCTGCGGTTAAACTCCGCTCGCTGCTCGGCCACTTCTGCAGAGGCAATTTAGAAGTAGTGGAGAGGCACTGACTTCTTCGTGACAGGTGGGGGGGGAGGGGGACGCGGGGGGGCGCGGGGAGGGTGGCCACGTGGGGTGGGGGGTGCAGGGCTAGAGGGGACGCCGCTGCCGCGGACGTTCAAGGGGGACCGGCGCCGTGTCCACCGCGTGTAGGAGCTGTGGCCGCAGGGAGGGGGCGCGAGGGGGGCTCGGCGCCGCGCGCCGACGGCGTGGGCCTCCGGTCGCCGCCTCCCCCCGGCGATCGTTGCCGCCCGGCCCCTGCGGCCGAGGGGTGTCTCCACGCCGAGCGATGGCTTATAAAACTTTTTTTGTAAAGACACGTACCGACGTACTGGACTGCCGGTGTGTGACGTTGAGATAAGTACGTTTCAATAACGCACTCTTGCCACCCTTCTCTGGTCCACGGGGGCGGGGCGGTTTATTTGGGGTTTGGATTGCATTAACGACGTCCATTTCGCCTGGATGACGGTATCGGTGATGTCTAAGGTAACACGCGACAAGGCTGCCATCTCCCACCCGGAAACATTCCCCCCGCTACGGGAACTCGCAGCAGCGACCTGGGGCGCCGCGGCTGACGCGCTGCGAACTGCCGCCCTTCCCGCCGAGATGATCCGCTCGGCGGCTGGAGTCACCGCGACTCCAGCCCGGCCCGGGAGCTCGGAACGCGAAGCTGCCTCGCGCACGAATAACGCGATGCGCATCGTAACCGGAATACTGAAACCGACACCAACCTCCTACCCATCATCAACCACCTACCCATCATCAACCACCTACACATCATCAACCAAGACCTCAGCAATGCACCGTCCCCCTTCTGGGATCGTGCTGTCGCCATCCTAGAACGTCACCCAGATCCGGAAGAACGCTGGCAAACAGAGTGGAGCAACGTGGATGTCCAGAATAAACACCTCCTTATTCGAGACCCAAATATCATCGCGCCTCCTGGCTTTGACATTCCTCCTCGACGACACCGGCAGTGTAACCATCAACCACCTCGGAACATCACCGCCAACCCGATGCGCACACCTCCTTTACGAAAGGAAAATTAAAGACACGAGCCACAGTGGTGTGATTGTTGCAACCTTAAACTATGGACCATAAAGTAAACAGCTGTAATCTGGACTTCTCCAACATAGGAGGAACAGCAAAACCACACAATCTCTCTCTCCTGAAGCCCTCTCGTCGTGGCCAGCAGACCTCGACACTGGCATCTGGCTCCTGATCCCATTCGCTAGAATTGAAGATAATTCTGAGCCAAAGTCGATGGTTCTCGGCCACGGCCGGCCTGGTGGACAGCCGACACGTGGACGAGGTGGAGGCACAGCCGACACGTGGACGAGGTGGAGGCACAGCCGACACGTGGACGAGGTGGAGGCACAGCCGACACGTGGACGAGGTGGGGGCACAGCCGACACGTGGACGAGGTGGGGGCACAGCCGACACGTGGACGAGGTGGGGGCACAGCTGACACGTGGACGAGGTGGAGGCACAGCCGAGACGTGGACGAGGTGGGGGCACAGCCGAGACGTGGACGAGGTGGGGGCACAGCCGACACGTGGACGAGGTGGAGGCACAGCCGACACGTGGACGAGGTGGGGGCACAGCCGACACGTGGACGAGGTGGGGGCACAGCCGACACGTGGACGAGGTGGGGGCACAGCCGACACGTGGACGAGGTGGAGGCACAGCCGGCACGTGGACGAGGTGGGGGCACAGCCGACACGTGGACGAGGTGGGGGCACAGCCGACACGTGGACGAGGTGGAGGCACAGCTGACACGTGGACGAGGTGGAGGCACAGCCGAGACGTGGACGAGGTGGGGGCACAGCCGACACGTGGACGAGGTGGGGGCACAGCCGACACGTGGACGAGGTGGAGGCACAGCCGACACGTGGACGAGGTGGAGGCACAGCCGACACGTGGACGAGGTGGAGGCACAGCTGACACGTGGACGAGGTGGAGGCACAGCCGACACGTGGACGAGGTGGGGGCACAGCCGACACGTGGACGAGGTGGGGGCACAGCTGACACGTGGACGAGGTGGGGGCACAGCCGACACGTGGACGAGGTGGGGGCACAGCCGACACGTGGACGAGGTGGAGGCCGCTCCACTCCTGCGTGGTCCGGGGCCCCGGCGCGGGGCCGCTGTGTGAGCCGCACCGGGCCGAGAGGTCCGCGCGGTGCCAGCCGACGACGACGTCGTGTGGCCGCCCCTGCTGGCGGCACATCGAGCAGTTTTCTCGGGGGGGGGGGGGGGGGAATGAAAACGTGCGATTGTGTATTAGCCGCTGGAAAGCGCGCCAACGTGACCCGTAACCTCACCTGGGTCTCAGTTTAAGTTAAAGCAAACGCGTGGCTCATGAATGCTGCGTTGTCACTTCTAATAATTTGTTTCTTTTGGGTGAGAGTGTGCAGGTTAGAATACCAATTTAAAAAACAAACATCCGTAACCCTCCACCACCGAGCGACAGAGCCAATCAAATTAAGTTGTCACGTGGGTGAATGTGCCAATTGGTTTGGTTTATCAGCAACACCGGAGGAGGGACGTTGGGAGGAGGGGGGAGCATTCGGAGCGTGAGCCGCGCCAGTCGCGCGTTCGGTGCTCGCCCAAGCTCGTATAACCGTGCCCATATAGGCGGCACGGTGGCGTCATGCTGTCTTCTTCGTCTGCGCTATGCAGGAGGTCGTAGGTTCGATCCTGACCCTGTCGCCTGTATATTTGGCGTTTGCATGTCTCTCTCTCTCTCTCCCCGTGGTCGCGTGGATTTTTCTCCTGGTCCTCCGGTTTTTCCCCTCCACATTTTGAAATCAACATCACGCGTTTGGGGCATTTGGCTGCCGCTATAAAGTACCACGTGATGATGATGATGATAAACTGCCACTTCGTTGAACGATCATTTGTGGCCAGGTCGCTTCTAAATAAAGCGCTGTATAGCTCAGCGAGCCTTACCTGGTAAAATAAAAAAAAATGTTCATCGTTTTATAGTTTTCATATCAAGAGACGTGTTAACTCCTTATCGGTTGCAACTTTGATTCCTCACCTGCTGCTCCGTGTCGCCGTGTACAGCTCATGGTTTGGGCACCGTCGCCTGCGCTCCGCCTGATGGTCGTCGTTGGTTCCGACTTCCTTGCTACGATGGACAACAAACGAAGGGATTAACTTTACCGGTGCTGTTTGTTGCCTGCCGCTTGACGCTTTGGGCCTTTGGGCCGGTGCAGGGCGGTTTTGCTGGGAACAAATCGTAATTTTTGCGTTGAGTTTTTCCGCAGCGAGCATGGTGAAGTCGCCATTCAACAACCCAGTGGGTAGAGTGAGCCCCCTGCTCACAAGCGCTTAAGACTTGCAGTGCCCACTCTTGCAAAAACTCATGACCGTCCCCGTATTGCATCGCGAGCTCACCGCATCGCGCGGCGCTTTCAGATGCGCTGCTGCGCCCGTCTGGAACGCTCTTTCCTTCCGATATTAGGAAGCCACTGGGGCTATGCACTTTTAAATCATCATCTAGATTGACAAACTGATTTCTTTAAAACGGATGTGTGTGTTGTTAGTGTCGTTGTCCTTCCCCCGCACCTCCGATGAGCAGGGTTGGCTACGTACGGTGCGAAAGAGGTGCAACATACATACGCACATACGTGTTTATACGGTTTGCCAAGTGTTCGGTGCAAAAGGTGTCCACACCTCAAGGGCGTCTCGCGCGTTACACAACGGACAATAGAGTTGTTCATAATGTGTTCATACGTGTTAATAGAGTTGTTGCCTACGGCCCGTCACGGGAGATAACGGAATGGAGGCAAGGAAACAAAGGATTAAGTCCGCCGCTCACGCACGTGGCACGCTCCGTTCAGAATCAGAATGGTTATTTCTTCCTGGAGAAATCTGATGAGCTATGAAGCCCTTTTTCACAGCTGTCCAGTCGGGGCACGGGGTCAGAACGTTACAACAACAATAGATAAAAAGCACGATAGTAGTGCAAATTGTAAGAAAGGTACACAAATCACTTACAAAAAATATGCAAATAAAGTAAAATATGTTTCGCCTTAACGGGTAAAGCCGATTGCTCGCCAAAGTGGCCCTTATCATCACGTGGACATTTAAATCAGGAACTCAGTGGGGGGGGGGGGGGGGGGTCGAGAGTCCCGGGCAAGCACGATTGATAACGCTGACCTGCCCATACTGGGCATCTGTGAAAAGAGCTTCAAAGGTCATCGGATTTCCTCCTCCAGTGTTAATAAAGACTCTGATTCTGAAAAGGCAAGAAGCGCCTCTTGTTCCCGCTGAGAATTCCCGACAGGCAACGCGCTGCGAATTGCCGGGGTCACAACCTCGCCGCCGCCGTGCGACGCCGACGATCGGTCGGTCGGTCGTGCGGGCAATCGTAGGCGGCGACCTCGTCCGGCACGAAATCATCCCGCGCGGTGAGGGCATCGCTGCGGGGAATCTTGACAAGAGATACAAGGGGACGATACGCCGCTCGGGAAATATCTGTCTCCACGTGATAAACAACATTATCTCCTCTCTCACGGGCGAATAGCAACAACAACAACAAACGTCCTCACGTCAAGCGTACCCGCTAGGCCGTAAGACTCCAATTGTGCTTCGTTCTAAAACAACAGCTTTGTAATTCACACGGCAAGAAACTATGGAGAGGTGACGACAAAAATTGGAGGACTTATTCAATGATCATTGACAATCGTGTCGGTCCTCCATACGTGTGTTGAGTTTAGGTCACCATGGCAGTTTTGTGCTAAAATACTTTTCAAGAACCGTCCGTCTTAAGATTATTCGACAAGTATTTTTTGGGGGGGTTAATATCCCTGGCTATGTCTCCTGAACGCATGAGACGATATTGAATGTTGTTGCTGGACCACACTCTACGCCACGTTTCGGCTCCGGCAGCAGTATGTATGCCGCTTGCTCTGTCTAGACTGTTAAACGTCACCGCAGCTTCGCATTATGAATTGACTTTCACCACACTCAGCTTCGCATTTATACGTTCAAAGTGTCGAGCGCGGTGTTTAATTGAAACCAGGGGCCTGCGTGCTTTAAATTATTGCCGGCGAAACGTTGCAGTCAGATTCCGCGTTCCACGTGGCGCGTTGACCATTTGGATAACACAGCGAATGTCCACGTACCGGCGATGCCCGCGTTGACCACGTGGGCCAGGGGTCCACGATGTGCGCGGTTTATTGCAGTCATTTTAGACACTTTACTCGTAATTTTTATTTGTTTTTTGTTGTTGTCACGCAAAGTTAATTTTTATTTAGTTTGTTTTGCCGTGGCGAGCACTTAACCGAGGCTTTGGCTTTCTG